TTTTTTTTTTATGCATTTCAAAGTTAAAACAGCATGGGGCTAAACGTGGTGACATCCATAATACTAGCATTCGGTTCCATGAGTTCCAGGCCAGTCTGGGCTAAATAGTGAGTTCAAGGCCAGCATGGGCTGCATTACATGGTGATCAGGCGTGGTGGCACACACCTGTCGTCCCAGCACTCTGGGAGGCTGAGGCAGGAGGACTGCAAATTTGAGCCCAGCCTGGGAAATTTAGTAAGACCCTGTCTCAAAATTTAAAGCGGGGGTGGGGGAAGGTTGAGGTGGCCACCCAGGAGCTGGGACAGTGGCCTGTGACAGATTCTCCCTCAAATCCTTTGAAAGGAATCAGCCCTGCCAACCCCTTCATCCTGAACTTCAGGCCTCCAGCATGTGAGGTGAGAAATTTCTGCGATGCCAGTCTGCGGCACCTTATTTCAGTACCCCAGGAAATGAGTGCCACAAGCCCCATGAGACTTCTGAATGCTTTTGCTGTTTGAGAAAGAGGGATTGTAAAAGTTCTCATTGTTGTTAACACTGTTCTATCTAGACAGGAAGCTGTGACTCGGTGGATCTGTTGGGGGCCTGTTAGGGACCACGTGATGCCCCTTGAGTTTAGTGATGGTTACAAAACGCTCATCGTGCAATGACCGAAATTGCTGGGCCAAGTGGCACATGTCTGAAATCACTCAAGAGGCTGAGGCAGGAGGGTCAGCACGAGCTCAAGGCCAACCTGGCTACATAAAAAGCAAGGAGAAAGACAAACTCTTGCCGATGTCCTGTGACTCCCAGGCTTTCCCTCCAAATGATCTGGCTGAGGTCCCCACTGCCGGGCACTCGTATACTAGAGGGTACCCCGTGACCTGCCATGGTAAAAATAGGCCCAACAGGATCAGTATTCACCAGCTGAGGCCCGAGGCGCAGGCGAGAACGCTGGGTCAGCGTCCTTTTCTTGACTCACTGGGGTTTCAGCTTTTCCAGGTTCTCAGCGATCATTCTTCACAGTTCTGCGCGGCAAAAAGAAGAGGAAGGAAGGAAGGAGAAGAAAGAATTTAAGACTGGCAAAAACACCAATTCCTATCAGCGGACATGTCAGCCTAGGGTCCTGGGATTGATTAGTCATGCCTGCCCTGGGCTCAGGAAGAGAAGAGGGTGGAGCACGTGCCATAGCACAAAGGATCTGCAAAGCTCAGATGGTTCAATCTGTGTGTTTTCAAAGAGACTCTGTTTGCTTGGTCAGTTTTCTTTGCAGTACCAGGGACTGAACTCAAGACCTTAACACTGACCTACATTCCCAGCACTTTTTTGACACAGGATCTCACTAAGTTGCCCATGCTGGGCTCCAACTTGTGATCCCTCCTGCCTCAGCCTCCCAGAGTGCTGGCATCCTAAACCTGTGCCACCACACCCATTGAGATTTTTAAATGATTAGAATATAAGGCCTAGGCCTGTAGGTAACCCCATGGTTGGGAAAATATTTTGAAGTGTCTCAAGGAAAAAGAACTCTCTCAGGACCACATTTATCTTCTCTAGTCAACTTGCCTTAATGATAGCCCAGATTCCTGGGAGGCTGAGGCAGGAGGATCACCATGGGTTCAAAGTCAACCCTGGCTACATGGTGAGTTCAAGGCCAGCCTGAACTACATAGCAAGGCCCTGACTCAAAAAGCAAACAAACCCAAACCAAACCAGAACAAAACTATGTGTGCTTGTCAAAATTCAAACTGTGAGACCAAAAAGATGAACTCCGGAGACCCAAATCTGCAGATGCTCAAGTCCTCTCTGTAAAGCATAGAAAGGTCTGTATAGTGCTCACTCATCTCCCACTGGATTTTAGATTATCAGTGGCTGACTTATAATAACGGATACAACATAGGTGGTGCTGTTAGGGTTCCTATCTAGATGTCCCCCAAGAGCTGCTCATGGTGGGGCTTTTGGAAGGTGATTGGATGATGGGGGTTTATACCTGACTTGCTGTTAGGCGGTGGGATCTGATTGGAGGAGGCGTCACTATGGGCGTGGCCCAGAAGGGTTTATCACCCAATGGCACCTTTCCGTTTCCCTCTGTTTCCTGTCCCCCATGCTGTGAGCAGCTCTCCTCGGCCCCAAACCTCTCTTCCATTAAGTCACAGGCATCAAGTGTCATCTCAGAAAGTGACTAAGACAGCTGTGTACACTCTTGTCAAATTGTATTATTTAGAGAATAAAAGCTATTCAGGAAGCTGAGGCAGGAGGATCACAAATTGAGTCCAGCCTGGGCAACTTAGCAACTTAGAGAGACCCTGTCTCAAATTTTAAAAATAAATAGAGCTTGGGATGTGGCTCAACGCAAAGGCCCTGGGTTCAATCCCCCGTACCACAAAAAAAAGTGTGCGTGTAAATGCATATATAAATAATTAAAATTAAAACAAACAAAAGAACCCCACATATATGGGTCTCCCGAAAGGGCCAAGTCCTGTTCTGAAAGTTTCACACGCACCAGCTCATTAAGTAGCCGCACCTCCCTACCCAGTGCTGTTCCTCGCGAGGCAGCAGATATTTGGGTGCCCGGGTGCGTGGTTCTTCTGCGAAGACAGGTGACAGGTGACCCGCGTGGAAGCCTGCAGGCACACTGTCCCCTCCCTGTCCTGGACACCCTCTAGATCAGGCCCAGATGACGGTGGCGAGGGGAGGCAGGAAGGTGGGTGGTTTCCCTCCTCAACAGATCTTCCACCCTGTCAGCCTTCTGGAACCTTCTATCCCAGCCACGCTTGTGACATCACCGGCCATCTTTCCCAGCCCTCCCCACCCCTGCAGGAAACTGCTTCTGGGGGAGATTGTGCTTCCCTTCCCTTCCCTTCCTCTCTTCCTTTCCTCTTTCTTCCTTGCTTTCTTTTGACTTTTTGAGATAGGGTCTTGCTATGTGCCCAGGTTGGCCTCCAACTCACAGAACTCCTCCTGCCTCAGCCTCTCAGAGTATTGGGATGACAGGCGTGCACCACCATACCTGGCTTGCTCTGGAGATTTTTAAGGGTTCAGAGTTTCGGTGTCAGGCAGGCCTTTTGGCAGACACTAGAGACATAAAGATGAACAGAGCAGGCGCGTGCACTTGCAGCTGCAGTGAGACACCAAGGGGCAGCCAGAAGGGACCCAAGCCAGGCTGGGCATCAGCAGTGAGTCCTCGCGTTGGGAGTTGGGGAAGCAGAAAGAGTACCCCTGCTGTCCCTGCCTCCAGAGCCGTCACACATGCATGCGTGGCACACACACTCACACACACTCGCGCACGCACACACTACAGAAAGCCGCATGCTCTTAGGGAGAACCTGTCTGTAGATGTCCCCCATGGGCTCAGCAGTACCTGGGCGCAGCAGTGCACCCAGTCATCCCAGCTTTCAGGAGGCTGAGGCAGGAGAGGACGTCGTCACAAGTTCAAGCGCATCCTGTGCAACTTAGCAAGGCCCTGACTGAAAATAAAAATAAAAAGGGCTGGGATGTAGCTCCACAGCGAGCACTCGCCTAGCGTATACCATATACAGGCCCTGAGTTCCATCTCCAGCCCTGGAAAGAAAGGAAAAAAAGAAAGGAAGACTTAGCAAGGATGAAGATGAAGCCACCATTTTCCAGATGTCGTGGGGGAGAACAGTTTCCTCCCCAGTTTCCGGGAGTGCGGCCGGAAGCAGACTTTCTCACTATCCTTTGGGGCACACCGCATGGGGGGTGAAGTCCCAGCCAGTCCTGCTCCAGAGCTTTGCCGGGGGCCCCCAAACTTCTCCCTGCCTCCGCCTCCTCCTTGCTGTCCAGCAGTACAGACCCAGGGGAGGCCCCTCCCAGGCCCTCAGGCCCCCCTGTCCCTCGTCTGCTTCTGGGCGATCCGGTCCACACGGCAGAGCAGCTGCTTATCACTGGCCCCAGGTAGAGCACAGCACGGAGCCCCACCGTCCCACACCACTCTCCGGTTGTCTCACTGTGACCTGCAGCCAGGCCTTTGCTTGCAGGAGCTCTTCCTATGCAGACCCCAGCTCCAGCCACCTTCCCCACAGAGTGAAGGCCTCCCTCCCAGCCCAGCCCTGGAGACTGATCCCAGGGCCTTGGCACTGAGCTACACCCCTAGCCCTTTTCCCTTTATTATTATTATTTTTTTTTTTTTTAAATTTTGAGGCAGTGTCTCTTTATGTCACTAAGTCGTCCAGGCTGAACTCAAACTTGGAATCCTCCTGCCTCAGCCTCCCAGAGTGCTAGAATGATAAGTAACGTGCCATCAAGCCCTGGTCATTGCTTTTGCTTTCAAGCGACAAAAGATTGAGCTTAGTTAGAAATGGGACTATGCAGATGCAGCAGCTGCAAGAGAAGCAGACATTTGGCAAAACCCAACACAGCAGACATTAGCAGACCCCAAAGCCCAGACTTTGAAATGAACTCTGGGGCGACTCTGGGGAAGACTTCACACCTCCACACCAGAAAGGAGAAGGGAAAACTGGGAGTAGGCATCGCCTGTGTGTCCTCCACTGCCACCTCTCTGGGCAGGGGGTGTTGGGCCCTACTACAGTCTAAAAATGCCTCCCAAAAGTTCAAAGTTGGACACTTAATGATGTTCATGACGGTTGGAGGTGGTGATTAGAATTGCAGGAGGTCATGAGGCTGGGTGTTAGGTCTCCATCATGGTGACAAAATAGCTGGGGTAATTTAAAAGAAAGGAAGCCAACAGGAGTGGCACATGCCTATAATCCTAGCATTCAGGAGGCTGAAGCAGGAGGATCACTATGCGTTTGAGGCCAGGTTGTGCTACATAGTGAGTTCAAGTCCAGACCGAACTACATTGTGAGGCTCTGTGTCTAAAAACACAGCAAAGAAGAAAGAGGAGGGGTGGGGGGTGAGGAGGAGAAGTCAGCAGAGGTGGAGGATTTCAGAGGTTTGGCTCAGGGTTCCAGGGGTTTCAGTCTATGATTGGCTGCTGAGAGCCACATGAAACACCACGGCGGAAGGGCATGTCAGAGAAGAGCTGCTTAGCTCAGGGCAGCCAGGAAGCAGGGAGCAGGAGAAGAGCCGGAGAGGACAGGTCCAGAGAGCCATAGTCTCTGAGGTCACGGCCACGTGACGCACTTCCTCCCGCCAGCCCCGCCCCATAGTTCACTCCCAGACGAACCCATCAACGAGCGGACACACAGAGGTCAGTGCCTTCCCAATCGCAGCGGCTCCTCCAGGATTCTCCTGACCCCATCAAGCTGACTACCAAGATTAACCTGCCCGGTTCTGACCCATAAGTGAAGAAATCCGTGGAGATCAGAACCCTTGTGCTCCTGTCATGCACCAAAGGCCGTACCTCCGCACATTGTCGTATTGGGGACCAACCTTTCAATGCATGAGTTTTGGGGGACAGGTCCCATCCAAACCATACCGTGGAGGGAGAGACCCAAGATCTAGTGTGGTTCTGGGGTGCCCTCCACCCTGGTCTGAGGTAGGAAGAAGGTTCTTGCCAGAGGCTGAGTAGATACCAACCAGCACTGTGCACTTAGACCTCCCGGCCCCAGAATGAGAGCCAGATACACTTTCATGGCTTAGGAGTTGTCTGGCACCAAGTGTTTTGTTATAGAAATTGTAGGGACACAAGCAGTGTAGGACATGAAGTGACTGGTGTGGCACTGCTGACATAGAAGCTATAGAAATGATCATCTGATTACTAGTAATTACCCTCTGTGAAACTTCTGTAGGTGTAGAACAGTTATTTTTAGGGACCCAATCACATTCGCTGGAAAATTCCCCAAACCCCATCTTCACCCTAGCAACAGCTGTCCTGGCAACAAAGTCTAAAATCCTGATTGGCCTAGAACACACCAATCAGTGAAGATCTCACAACCCTTAAACAAAGGCTGAGATCCTGATTGGCCTAGAACATGCCAATCAATGAAGACCCAGGCAAACCATAAACAAATGCTGAGACCCTCAGTGGCCTAGAACCCTTTTAAGTGTGGCCAGAGCAGAGACGCCCCTGGTTGAGAAGTTCAAATTGAACTTCTGTGTTGTTTGTCACTTATCTGTACCTCAGTCGTCTTATGAATAAACCTCAGCTCCTCACTACTTTCTTTTCTGACTTCACTGTTCTTTGTGGAACTGACTTCTTCATTTCCTACTTGCGGGGGATCTTCAAGGTTGAGTCAGCCGTTCCCCACCCTCGCGTTCCTTGCCAGGGTGAAGGCAAGAACCTGAGCAATGGGGGTCACGCCAAGGGAGACCCCAGGTCCCCAGACCCCAGCCCTGACTAAATCCAACAGTGGGTTAGGAGACACCCCAGGGCGTGCTGGGATTTGCCAGCCTGAGGTTGCTGGATCCACGGATGCCTGCGTGGACTCTGTGGATTTGGCGTGGCCTCGACTGGCTACACTTGGCAGCCCTTGTTATTGAAACTTTTTGTTCTGCTTCCTTTTTGTTTTAATCTTTTCCCTTCCCATTTTTACTCCCTTTCATGGCCCCCCTTCTTTTTTCTCTTTCCTTTCTCTCTCTGTTGGTTGTTTTGTTGTTGGTGGTGGTGGTGGAGATTCGGTCTCACTGTGTAGCCCAGGCAGGCCTTGAACTCTCAGTGACCCTCCTGCCTCAGCCTCCCGTGTTGGGATGACAGGCACGTGCCACCACACCTGGCTTTTCTTCCTTTTCATTGACAGTTGGCAGAGAACCTAAGCACAGCCATTCTCTTCCCTGCTCCCTGGTTGCCTAGATGTGTTTAATAATACGTTTGGCTGGAGACAGAAATGTGTGTGTGCTTTTCTGAAATATGCTTTATGTTGACTCATCCCGCCGCTTGCATGGCTATCGGGGTCACGACAGTTTGCTATGGAAACGATTCCATGTTGCAGAGAATGAGGCTCCGGATGGCGAGAAAACCATAACAGAAGTTGCTCGGGTGCTGTCCACGCACAATCCTCGCTTCCGAGGTCCTGTCATGGCAGAAATTCTTCTTTTCTTCTGCTCTTTGGAGAGTCCACGCTCGGGCTCTGATCTCCTCCAGACAAGAGGCTCTCAGCGCCACCCCTAAGCTCCTCGAGGCCTGGCAAAGTTAATTAAAGGTCGTTAGTGAAATAAACAGTCCATTAGGAAAAAGCCTGCCTGGGAAAAGAAAGAAATTCCAACAGCCGGGGAGCAAACCTCTTCCAGGGTCTGGAAAGTTCCCAGGGTACACAGATTAGTGTTCTTGTCTTCAATATAAATGTCAGTGGCTTCATCAGCTAATCCTTTCCTTAGAAATGGCAAGTTCACATTTTCGTTCAATTTTTCTTTTTATATTTTTAGCAGATAAATATTCTTTCAGTCTATCACAGTTTTAGGCTTTCCTGGCGAACAGAAATGGAATGAAAAGGTATTGTTTGCACTTGGCAAACAGAAACAAAGACAGACCGATGAAGCCAGCATGGTGGCCCACGCCTGTAACCCTAGCACTCAGGGAGGCTGAGGCAGGAGGATCACTGTGAGTCGGAGATACCGTCTCAAAAAAAACCCAGATAATAAAAAAAAGTCGTGTTGACGTACAGACACACTGCATGGTATGGGGGGAACTTTAATATGTGGGGACGCCTCCCTGTGATGCATAACTGTTGTTTGTTTGCTTGTTTGTTTTGGTACCGGGGATCGAACTCGGGTCCTTGCGCTTGCAAGGCAGGCCACCGAACCGCTGAGCTAAATCCCCGACCCAAATTGTTTTTTAAAAATAGTAACAGCGATCGAATCCACGATCTTCATACTGAGTTTCATGTCCAGCCCTTTCATTTTATTTCATTTTATTTTATTATTTCGAGACAGGGACTTACTAAGTTGCTGAGATTGGCCTCAAATTTGCAATCGTCCTATCTCAGCCTCCCAGAGTGCTGGGATGGCAGGTGTGCTACCACACCTGCAGTAATATAGAATCGTAGTTTTATATCTATTACTTTTCCAGAAATATTCTATGTATCTATGAGCTTGTAGGAAGCATGTGGAAGACGTGGTATGTGGCGGAGTTACGCATGTGGCTGCAGAGCCAGGCTGTCTGGAAGGAAATTCTAGCCTTGCAATTTATTAGCATGGAAGGGATGAATAGTTACTTGTATCAGTCTTAGATCTGAAGTGGGCTCTTCAGCGGGATCTAGGAACCCAATGAACACGAGGCAGCTTAACAAGAGAAAAGCATACAGTTTCTTTTTTTCTTTTTCTTTTCTTTTTTTTGGGGGTATCAGGGATCGAACTCAAACTAACCCCGGCCCCATCATACACAGTTTCTGAAACAGGGCCTCGCTATGTAGCCTAGGCTGGACTTGAATTCACTGTGTAGCCCAGGCTGGCCTCAAACTCACAGTGATCCTCCTGCCTCAGCCTCCCAAGCGCTTGTATTACAGGTTTGTGTCACCACACCAAAAAAATAATACACTCATGGAGAAATGATGGTATGAAGGGATTTCTGGGTGGTGGCAGTAAATTCAAAGGCAGTCACTAGGAGATGGATGGGGAGTTTGGATTTGGGGTGACAAGGGTTATGTTAGTGAGTTCGTTCAGCTCCGTCACACCCTGATTCCCAGGCCCAGTGATAACAGCTACTTTTCCCCCTGGGATGGGGAGATGCATCTCGCCCTGAACTTCGTGGCGATTTCTGGCGTACAGAAAAAGGCAGGTCAGACAGCTCTTTCTGGGGCAGGAATTCCTCCATTGTTTCCAGTTTGAAATAACCAGCACACCAAGTTGGCATCTCGGAGCTGGCCTCTTAACTCCAGCTCTGCACATGTGGGCAAGTGCATGAACTGTTCTGTCCTCCAGGGTGACAGGCAGCCAGCCGGGCCCCTACCAGCTGGCATTCACACTCTCTCGTAGTCACGTACTGTTGAGAATCGGATGTAGGCATTGAAGTCCTTCTAATAGGTAAGTTGGAGTGATAGGATTACGCTACGTGGTTAGGTCATAAAAAGACAGTGGCTACAAGTGCAAGGTTCTGAGTTCAATCCCCGGTACCACCCCCCGCAAAGACATTGGCTTCTGTTTTTCTGTTTTGAGTGCATGGGGGTCACCAGCTGCCTGGTCCCTCCCTGCAGGTCATGGTCATGGGGACACTAAAGCACTTGCCAAAGGGCCCCACATGTCGAGGAACTGATGTCCCCAACTAATAGCTGTCAAGGGACTGATGTCCACCAGCAATGACATGAGTGAGCTGAGAAAAAAATCCTCCTCTGTGGGGAGGTGCTGTCTTGTAGGTATAAAGTTTCAGTTATATAAGGTGAATATATTCACTTGGAATTCCAGAGCTCAGGAGGCTGAGGCAGGAAGATTGTCATGAGTTTGAGGTGAGCCTGGGCTACATAGTGAGTTCAAGACCAGCTTTCACTAAACAGTCAAATCTTGCCTCAAACAAACAAACAAACAAACACTGTTATGTGCTTAATTTTTTTGTTTTGTTTTGTTTTGGTTTGGTTCTTTTTGGTAGCAGGGATTGAACTCAGGATCTCTCACTTGCAAGGCAGGTACGGTGCCACTGAGGTAAGGTGAGCTAAGCTGAGATTACAAGTGTGCATCCCTGGCTCTATGGATTTTTCTTCTTTGAAAGCGTCATATAAACGGCATCAGACTGTGTTTTTGTGTAAGGCTTCTCTCCCTTAGCCTCCTGGCTTTGGGTCATCCGCACTGCAGCACAGACCCAAACGTCCCCCTCAGGTGGTCAAGTGATATTTATTTCAGTGTGCAAATAGAGGCTGTCCACTCGTTGGAGGTGGACATGAGGTCCTGCCACCTCTTGGCTGTTATGTGTTGTGCTGTCCCTTGCTGCGGACACGTCTTGGTGTGCACGTGTCTTTGGTGCCTTTGGTCTATCTCTAGCCTCATAACTGCTGGTCATAGGATAGCTCCATGTGTAATTCTTGTAAGAAGCAGGACTTTCAGTTGTTTTTTTTTTTTTTCAGCTTTAATTGAGTTTACTGGTACATTTTAGGGATACAGTACAGTTACATTCATTGTTGGGAATTTGTACCTCTACATGACAGGCCTTGGTTCTCATTTTTTCCCCTTGTCCCTGCCCTCCCTTCACCCCCTCCTTCCCTCCCCATCTACAAACACTTTATTTCCATCTTTTCATTACCTCACATTTTTTTCTTTTCCCTTGTTACCCTTCCCCTACCCATCCCACCTTCCCTACACCTTTAGCCCCTTTCTTCCCATTTCACAATGTCAGTAATCTCATTAGAATCTTCTGTACTATTACAGTTTATTCACACCAGAGAGACTATTCGGTATTTGCATATGTGTGACTCATTTATTTCACTTAGGATTATATCCTCAATATGTATCCATTTTCCTATGAATGAATCTATTTTCTCGTTCTTTA